AATTTAAAATATTTAATTTTGATATAATAAATTATACATAAATGATTCTAATAGTATACAAAATACAATAGGGATATATTTATTGATGTGAAGGAAATTTATCCCTTTCGGATCTTACATCGTTCATCTGAATTTTTCATCTTCGCATGCTTTGAGATGAGATTCAGCAACGAATCGTTCGAATCGTTAAAAATATGTACATGGACCTTAAATTTTGTTGGATAGTAATCAATTTAGTAATTTTCTGTCATTTACTTTTACATTAAAGTTTTGTTGATTACATTATAAAATTTATATTAAGAAATTTAATCTAATTTTATAATATTGGAGACTCTTAAAAATAAAATGTTGTTGACGTGAAGATTTTTTAATTTAGATATATTTTTAGTTAAATATTTATATTTTTAATTTTGAATAAACGCGACAATTATTCGTATATTAATTGATAATTGTTTACATTAATATTTACTTAATTTCATTAATATAATGGTCCTTTTGCGTTCGCGTTTCGCGCATCGTACGAAAGCGTAAAATCTTACGCTTATTGCTGGCGATGATAGCCGGCAACAGTCGGCAACAAAAAGGAGTATTTCTCCTTGTTATCGATTTCTAGCATATCAAGCCAGAATATTATATAGGCCAGGAACAACAAAAGGTGAGTTCAATCTGGCCAGAAGAAAGAAGAGAATATGTATTCAAGATAGGTTGGTGTGTAAAACCAATCTAAGTTTTTAAAAGGTAAACTGAATATTCGGGAGGGTAACTTACTCGCAAATTGCGAGTTCTTATATTTTTTAAATTATTGCTTATTTAAAACACAAAAAAAACAACAAACAACAGGACTAATAAGAGTCGCAGATAATCAATTACAAATTTTGTAGATTTTTTTAAATCTCTATAACTTGCACTTGATTATCTACGCTGACTCTCATTAATCCTTTATATTTGTTAATTTTTTTTTGTATTTTAAAGATTGAAAGCCTGTTTTAATTATTACTATTTATTACTTATTTATTATTAATATACTGAAAATAAGAATTTGCTGTTGCAGTAAATTAGATAATAAAATATGGTATAACATTTTTAATTGATTACAGCAGCTAATTTTTGGCTGTGTTAATCTATCGAAATCCTATACTGACATTGCGGATAGATTAACGTAACCAAAAATTAGCTGTTATAGCCAATTAAAAATGCTATGCCATATTTTATCATTTAATTTGTTGCAGCAATCAATTTTTTTTTTCAGTGTATGATCGCGATTAATATAATCGCGATTCATCCCGCTGAATTTATCAGCGATAGAACATGCTTAGACATTAACTGCATTCAGCGGAGAAAGTAGCTTTGTAACTGTTGTAAAATTCTTCAACATGATTGATTAGACATTTAAAATCCATAAGAAACCAAAGCGAGAACCATATTAAAGAATTTTACAACAATTGAAAAGCTACTTTCTCTGATAAATGCAGACATTAATGTATTATATTCACGGTTATTGCTCATTTATTGAAATAGGTAATGTAGGTATACACGAATGGAAATAGGTATTCCCGAATAAGCAAATAAGTAAAAATACGGATAGGTAGGACAATACGTATGAATAGGTAGGGACGATAAGATGGATAGGTAGAAATAAACACATCATATGTACTTGATAATTGGAAAGGAGGAATTAAAAATTGAATAAATTTTTAATTAATTTTAAGTTTTATTTAAATAGGGAAGATTTAGGTCAAAAGTAACAAGGCTAAGTTGTAACAATTATATTAAAAAATGTTATAAACAAAATATACAAGTGTAAGGAAGAGACAGAAGTTTAATAAATATATTATAAATTTCTATCTCTTTCTTATGCTTTTGTATTTTGTTTATAAGTTTTTATGTAAATGTTACAACTTATCTGTGTTACTTTTGATCCCAGTTTCCCCTATCAGAGCATCCCATTCCAATTATCAAATATAAAAATAAAATAAATTAATTTCAAATTTTATTTTTCAGCTACCCTGAAATTAAACTTTTTTATAAAATTCTGTACGCATCCAAATTATATAACGCATTATATTGTATATTGTATATTATATATTGTAATTAATTGTATTATAAATAAATGTATGTATTTATAATAGTATTAGGTATATATTATAAAATTCATGTAAATTTTCTCTGTATCCAGACAAATGCTATCATATATACTTACTTTTGTAATTTGCCAACGGTTACTAATAAGTTATTCATTTACTGGAATATATGTATCCATATTGAATATCTGTTTAATACAGATAGCATTTGTTTTGTTATAATAAACCAAATTGTAATTTAAATGTAAATTATACGAAATCGACGAAATATATAATAAAAATTGTTTATTAATTTAATAAGTTTAATAAATATTTAATTTAAAATTTTTTTTAAATTGGATTTTATTTTGAATTAAAAAGTCATTAATAATTTTAACTAACTTTTAATTCAAATTTTTATGTTAAAATAATCGTCAATTTTCTTCTATTTATAGAAGAATATATTTCTTCTAGTATTTATTATATACAAGTATTTAGTATATACAAGTATACAAATGTATTAAATAAGTCATGAAGGAACTTAATTAAGGCAAATTAAATATTAACTTTTTGCTTGCTTTTTGACATTTTTAATATTATAGAATTACAAGTATATTTTAGTGATCAATTTATTGTATAGGCCTCATCGCTGTCCTTCTTCGCGTCAATGTATGTCAGTAATTGACGTGCTTTATACCAATAGAAAGTCGAAATTATTTTCATCATAGAAAGTTACTCCTTGTCGTTTTTCGTGAAGTCTATTCGCGAAGTCTAGTTTGGAGTCTGGAGAATCTCTTCGGAGATTCTTATACAGGATCAGAAGTTAATCCCGAGTTTTCTCATTTGCAGTTACTGGAAGTAATAATTTTATCAATGAATCAATGATAATTGCTATATATTTTAAAGCCAAGTTGTGAAATTATAATTTAATGGTATATTTTAGCATATAATTTTTGTTTTATTAAACTCTTTGTTTTATTAAATCTTCTTCCACTAATAATATTAGTAACAGCCTTAATAATAAATGAAATTTAATATTATAGATGTTTAATATTGATTGTTATATTAATATTGATTGTTTATTTAAATCCAAATTATTAAATAAAATATTAAGTAAATTTAATTTTTATACAAACAATTTGTTTATTTTTTGATAATCGCTTTAACAAAATTATGGTTACGAATGTGTATATTTAATTTTCTAATTGTTATTTTTAAAATCATTTTTAGGTATTGGACATCCCGCCATTCCAGAAAATTATTTATTATTAATTTTCATGTATATTTTTTATGATAAAATACATGCAAGTATTATGAGATTATATTTAACAAATTTTAATATTTGTCGACTTAGATCATTTTTACCAAAGTATTTCATATTCTTTTAATAACATATCGTAATTATATGAAATTATATGAAATTCAATTAAAAATGTATGGGTAGAAAATAATTCAAGATAAGTCGAATGGGTACTCTCATATTAGCGGGATATTAATAATTAAAATTTTTAAAAAATAAGGAATTGTTAAATTTTATATAATAAATTTTATATATATAAATGTTTTTTAAAATCCCGTTATTATCGGGTTCGGCTTATCTCGAACAGTTGGTACCCGAGAAACTTTTGTACTCATACATATAAAAAATTACAATAATGCATGTATTTTATTATTAAATATATTCCTTTGTAACCACTAGTCCATAAGGAAATCATTCTATCCATTTATTTTTAATAAGAAATGATTTTTAGTGATGTGTGAACATACTTTCTCGCGCATTTTAATATTATATTAATGATATGATAAAAATAGTAATTGTAATTGACATTCTATCAAAATTACTACCGTAAGTGGAAGATTCGGGATTTACTCTTCTGTAACAAGACCATTAGTGCTTAACGAATTGCTTAATTTTTCTTTGCGAATGGATCTTGTGAATTTGACGTAGAATCGAAATACATTGAGCATTCGCTCTCCACTATGAAAATTATTCTTTTTGTATCGGATACTAATGCGCGTTCCACAAAGCAGAGAGATCTTGATAATCAAATTATTGAGATTATCTTGAACGAGATGAAAATACGTCGTAAATATATTAATGATTTTTAGTTGTTATATTAATAAGTTGTCGCAAATTAATAATTAATAATAAATATGATCTAAGTTGTTAGTATCTCTTTTCGCGTTTATCAATATTTCATTAAACATTGGTTTAGAAAAATTTATGTTATATTTCGACGTTTTCGTATAATCCCGCATTATTAATTTGTTAATTATGCTCCTATATTATCATTTTTATTATATTTTGAACAGCATTTATAATTGTATATTGTATTGTAAACAATTATTATAATTGTATATGAATTGTATAAAAGATTACAATAAAAGATAATATTTAAAAAATTATTGCAATATAATTAGTATGTAAAATACAATAAAATAATTAGACATAAAAATAAAAAAATAAATTAAAATATATATATTTTTTATTTTAGATATAATTATATATACATAAAATATGTATACATATATGTAACATTTTTTCCCGAGTTGTATGAATGAAAAATTAAAAAATGAAAACAGTATGTGTCCGAAGTAGGGATGGAAATGCATTACTTACATTACTGTTTTTTTTTATAATAATGATTTAGTAATAACATTGCAATTTTTTATAACGGTAATATCAGGATTGAGAAAGCCATTTTTTAAAAATAACTCGTTATTTATTGAAAAAATAACTCGATGCATTAGTCGTATTAACAACGCGTTACTTTTTACTAATAAAATAACGAGTTACATTTTTCAATAAATAATGTAATGATAATAAATTACTTTTTAAAAGTGATTTTCCCACTTTAGTCTTATAATTATAACGTAATTATTACCAAATCGTTAGTAACAATAACGATATTTACAAGCAATGCATTATTTTTGTCTCTGTAGTCCAAAGAGGACCGCTGATTAGAACCGACGGGGGTGATGGAGGGCCTCTACAAATAATTTTGTTTTTTGCCAGATTATCTGAAAATGTATAAATAATTTTATTGTAATATATTTTATAGTGTATAAATGTATAAATAATTTTAATTTTGTAATATATTTTGCATAGTGTATTGTAGGTAAAATAAAAAAAAAGGAAAAGCAATTAAACATGATTGGTTGATCCATAAGTAAGAATCAATCATGCTTATTCGCTCGGCAAGCATGTCTAGCCACTTTACCATTTTGAATTCGCTCATTCATTTCATATAATCGATATGTTCCGAAACTTATTGAAATTAAATTAAATTAAATTAAATTAATTCTTTAATATTATTAAATTATTATAACAATAAAG